TTTTTTTGGTCTTTGTGACTTTTGCTTTTCTTTTGTTTTTGAACTCGATGACCCAATGGTAGAGTTCGACTCTTCGTGAGTTATTTTTGGCATGCTTTGTGATGTTGCCTAGTCTTCGTGACTTGAGAGTACTTAGTGAACTCTCCACCACTACGTGTGTTCTCATTTGTTGATTACACATTTAGTGGTTATTAGGCTATGATGAGTCCCGCGGTTCCTTGTCAAACTATGTGCACTACTTTGGGCCAAAGGTGGAGATTGTTAATTTATTTGGGGTTGGCCCAAACATATTAATAATAATTGACACCCAACCCAGCAGCCCATTTACTCAAGCCCAATCTATACTCCTTAACCTAATTAAGCTTGCCTTAATTACTACCCTAATCTCCACTATATATTGAGGGCTTGCCTTTGTGTTTCTACACGGTACAAAACTCCTTTTCTCTCTTTGTGAGACTTCCGTGTGGGTTTCTTTCTTCCTTTGTGAGTTGATCTCAGTTCTTCTCCGTTTCTTTGTGAGTGGAGTGTGGCGAGGTTGGGTTGGGGTGTTGCTCCTTTTGGTACCCTTGTAGTGCACAACTACGGACCGTCTTTTACGGGTGACCTGAGCCTAATCGGAATAAATAAATACACACAACAGTGGTATCGGAGCCTGGTTTGTGCTCAGTATTTATTTATTTTTCCGTGAGGTGTCTTTTCTCCTTTTCTGTTCGGATCTGCTGTCCCTTACCAACTTCTTCTTTTGTTTTTTTAAAAAACCCATCATTTTTTTTTCTTTGGGTCAAACTTTGTGCATGACCTTTCCTTTTTACTCCGTATCTCTTTTAAAAAAAAAGTGGGTCCTTTCTTCTCTTTTTTTTTTTGGAATCTCCGTTTCTGCTTTGGCCCTTTGTTCTCCTTCGGACAATTTGTGTCCCTCAGCCACTGAGTCTTGTTCTCCGGCGAGAAAAAAAACCAGAGAAGGAGTCTACAATCATAAAAACCAGATTGCACCAATTTGCTTCGTGCGAATGGAGGGAGTCTACAATCGACGATTCCAGTAGACATCCGCTGCTTCGTGCGGCTCGAAGGAGTGGCTGGAGCAAGAGAAGATCCGCAACAGCACAAGCGCAGGCCGGAGTAGGAAAAGCAGAAGATTCCAACGGCTGTTCAATCATCTGCTGCGGGCGCTCTCAATTTCATTCCTTCGTGGAATAGGTAAGTCGAATCTAGGCATTAGATTCGCCCAGGTACACAACTCTTTATCCCTTTGCTTTCGTAGCATTTTTTTTAGGGTTGTTTAATTCTGTTGCGTTATTTTTCGATTGCCTAATTCCATTATAGTTTGTGCTCGTGTGAAAGAACAACGGGATTGAGTAAGCAATTTTGCTAACATAATAATCTTGGGTTGTTCGTGCGATTGCTTCACACACGTGAGCCAAATTTGGAAAATTTAGGCCATATTCTACGTGCATCAGTGTTGCTAATTTTTTCAGTTTTTTATTCTCTTTTGTGGGTGTTTTTTCTTCTGTGTGGTGATCTTTTGATCATTCTTCTCCTTAGTGGATATGTCTACTATGAATCAGTATGCTTTGACTCCATTTAATGGAAAAACTGATTTTAGTATTTGGAAACAAAAATTGAAGTGTGTTCTTGTTCATCAAAAAGTTTATAGGGCTGTTAGTAATTCATATCTAGAAATAGACTCTAAAGAGAAAAGAGTTGAAATGAATGAAATTGCTTGTTCCATAATTTACTTAAACTTAACTGACTGTGTGATCAGAAAAGTTGGTATTTTGGAATGTGCTAAAGATCTTTGGAATAAACTTGATGAACTTTATACTGAAACTTCTTTGCCAAATAAGATTTTCTTGCTTGAAAAATTTTTCAAGTTTAGATTGGATATGTCTAAGGACATAGAAGAAAATCTAGATGTTTTCACCAAACTGATTTCTGATATAAAATTAACCGGTGATAAACATATTGATGACTACACCCCTATTGCTCTTTTGAATGCTATTCCCGATTCCTACAGTGATGTTAAATCTGCAATTAAATATGGTAGGGATAATATTTCTTTTGATGTTGTTGTGAATGGTCTCAAGAGTAAGTAATTAGAGTTAAAAAATTCTAAGAGTGATAAAAATTCTGGGGAGATTATGCATGTGAGGGGTAGAACCTTAAATAAGTTTCAAAACCATAAACATGCTAACAATGATAACTCAAATGTGAGAAAATTCAACCAGAGAAGGGGTAAGTCTAGATCCAAGTCTAAAACAAGAAAATGCTACAATTGCAATGAATATGGTCACCTTAGTAATAGTTGTTCTAAGCCTAAGAAAATTCAGCAAAAAGATCATGCTAATATGGCTAGTGAATCAAACAACTTTGGTGATGTGTTAATGATCAAAGATTATGCTTATTTGAACTCTGTGTTATCGGATTATCTGTGTGAATCTGATTGGCTAGTTGATTCTGGTTGCACCTTTCATATGTCACCATTTAAAAACCTTTTTTCAAACTATCAAGAGATTGATAATGGTATTGTGTCCATGGC